TTGATCAAATAGTTGATCGCAGCAGAATGAACACGTGTAATTGATTAATATAAGGATTGATCGCTTCACGCTATGCAATTTCTTCTATTAGAAGAAAAAAAAACATACTCATCAGTTTATTAATCTTAAACCAGAAAATGATGCACAACAAGCAAAAAAAATTGTTGGATGAGTAAAAATGTGTTAGATGAAATAAAATTTATTTCAAAGAAATTGAAAAAAAAAAAAAATTAACAAGAGGTGTTAAGTGTTAACAAAAGGCAATTATTATAGTTGCGGAAACATATAATAAACGAGCAATCATATAATTGTGTTACGACCAATAAGATACTCTTGCTTTTTTAAGGCGCCTTTGTATAATAAATTAATAAATATTTAAGATCATTTATTATCGGCAGCATCATCGAAGATCGATCGAGGTGGTCTCTTAAAATTGACTTTACAGATCTCTGCCAAAATTCAGCGGAGGCCGTGTAAGCTTTTGTTCATCGATCTCTCCATCTTTCTTAGTATTTGATTGTTTTATGCATATCGATTAATATATTCTAAGTATGGTTTTATTGAACTCGATTCGATTACGATTTGTTTGTATCAACGAAACCTAAAAGTTGTCATGATTCAAATAAGAAAATCTGCAACGAGAACCCAAATTTGGATCCGATTTGAACCTCTTTGTTTAGAAAAATTTAGTAGCGGCGGGCTGATTAAGAACTCAAATTATTGGATCCCCAAATCTTCTATTGACTTGTAAATTTGGTCTGATTCAGAATTGTTAATAGTTTCAGGCATCATGGGTGGTAGATTTGGAGCAGTACTAGTCGTCTTCTTCTTGGGTTTGACCTGGTCTTGTGATGCTAGAAACCCCCTCGCTCTCGAACCATTCGGTAAGATTGTGAACATCAACAATGGTTAGAGGATTGAATAAATGGGTCTGTTTTCATATACTGAGATGGGTTTAAGGAGGTTGCAAGTTGTTTCCCATATAGTGTTAAGGAACTTGAACTAATAATGTATGATTTTTTTGATTTGTTGCGCAGAACCAGCTCATGAGAATCAAGTTTGCGAACTGTGTGATAAATATGTCACGCTTGCCGTTGACTATCTTCAAGATGTCGATAACCAGAATGCAATTGTCGAGGCGCTTCACACGAGCTGCTCTCAGATCCCTCCTTTGAAAAAACAGGTCTTCACTAGGAGGGCAATCTTCATTGAGTTCTTTATTATTGA